CCTCTGCTTCCCATGGACACAGTCTCTTGTCCAGAAACACCAGCCCGCACTAGCTGGCTCTCTGAGTGCCATTTGTTGGCTGCTAGTGTTGCTTTTTTTTTTCTGCTTCTTTTGATTTCTTACTTGCCTCTCGCCACCTCACCCTCCCTTCGCTCAAGTACCTGGCTCCGTGCGCGATCTCTGCTTCTTCCTGATGGGCTGCGGAGCTCTCTTCGAGTATGGAGCTGCTTCCCGGTTTGGGTTGCCGCGCTGGTGGGATCCCGGGGCTTTTGGTCGTTTCTTTGTTTTGAATTGTTTGATTGTTTTCTTTTCCTTTTCTTGAGTTGGGAGCCCTTTCTGGACAGGCTGAGCTGCGTGGCAGGGAGACTGCCCTTCGGCTTCCACAGACGTGCAGAGGGATCCCTGACGGCATTTCGTTTTACGCTGGGGTTTTTGTTTTTTTTCCTTCCTTCTTTTTTTCTGTTTCTTTGGGGCCTTTCTTGTTTTGTTTTGTTATTTTTTAATTTGTTTTGTTTTCTTTTTCCTCTTTTTCCCTTTTTGTCTTTCTTCATTACTCAGTTTCTTGTCTCTCTATATCTTCCTTCTCTTTCTGCCCTGCACTGATTACCAACCCGCCCTGGTGGCTGAGTAAGTGCCACAAACAACCCGTCCCAGTAACTCCTCTTCAGCTAGACCTGCCCTGCTGTACCATATCTGAGTGACTGACCAAGCCAACTTGAGAAGGAGGCGAAAAGTATTGTGCCCACAGACAAGCAAACAACAAAGAACACACAGCCCGCCTGCTCAGACACAGCCAAATTTAAAAAAAAAAAAAGGATGAAACAAACAAATCTACAATCAATAAACGAGAAAAATAACTACTGAATGCCCCGAAAACAGCACACAGTATCAAAACATTTACAAAAACAGGACAGGATGGTTCCAGTAGGCGTCCAAAATAGAACACTAGATGACTCTCCTCTGGAAGAAAAGGCACTAGAACTACCTGATAGGGAATTCCAACCTCTAATACTCAGAATTCTCCAAGAACTGAGGCAAAAAGCTGAAAACATGAAGAAAAAATAGACAAATTCATGGAAAATACAGACAAAAAATTGGAAGAATTCAGGAAAATAATGCAGGAACAAAATACCAAAATAAATTCACAACTAGAAATTATACAAAGACAACAATTAGAAATCCAAAAGATAAAAAACAAGATTTCATAAATGGACGGTGTCATAAAA